AAAACCTAATAAGACTTTGCTGCAGGTCCTGGAATAAAGAAGGGTGGAAGTGGTGGAGGATACCACGAAGGGAAAAAAACTAAACAAACAAAAACAATTCAAATCCCAGACTATCCCACATCCAAGAAAAAAACAAAAAACTAGCAAGAAAACCTTACCTTCATTAGAGGCCCAGGGCTCTTCCCAGATGACCCTTTTTCCTCTTCTCACTTTCTCAGTCTACAGGGCTCAGGAGTAGCACACTCCAGCTGCCTCCATGCCTCAGCTCAGTGTACCCAATCCACTGGGAATACTTCCCACATTGTGTTTAAGTTAGAAATAACACACAAACTCTTATAAAATAGTAAATACTTGTCAATTGATTTTTATAGCCAACTCTACACGTATACTCAAACCCCTTGTTCGAAAACTAAAAAACCAATAATCTTCATGAGTTTATCTATTAAAAATCATAAATAAAAATTTAACCACTGGAATGTTGCTGGTAGGAATGCAAAAATGGTGCATTTAGGAAAACAATCGATCAGTTTCTTATGAATACACAATTGCCACTTAACCCAGGATTCCCAATCCCAGGTAATTATCCAAGAAACATAAAAGCATCGAGGGGAGGGAGAAGGTGGGGAGGTTCAGAGGGAAGGAATGCTAAGGGAAAAACAGAGGAGTGGGTAAAATGCTCGATAGGAAATGTACACATTACCTTACTCAAGTAACTAACCCCTTTGTACAGTATCTTTACAATAAAAACATATATTAAAAATATAAAAGCATAGTTATACAATGACTCAAATGTTTATGAGCTTCACTTATAACCAACAAAAATCTGATTGCTACCTGTCAGCTTTCCATCACTGTAACTAAATACCTGAGATAATCAACTTAAAAGGAAGAAATATTTAGTTTTTTCATAGTTTACTGTGGACTTTTCTTTCTAAAATTTCCCAATTTTTAGTGGGGTATATATATCTATATATATTTGTATATATATATATTTTGCTGACACTGTAGTGGGATTGTGCAAATGTTCACTTATACAGATTGTTGTACTTGGTATATTATTATATTAGTATATATTAATTGTAAAAATACAGTTTCGCTGGGTACCAGTGGCTCATGCCTGGAATCCTAGCTATTCAGGAAGTTAAGATCTGAGGAGATGTACATATAGATATATCTATCCATCTATCTATAGTTTCATTGACATTTTCTTACATGCACATGTTATGACATGATGTTAGTTTTCCATAATGGATTCCCAGACCATATGGTTAGTGCACATATGAAGCTCAACTGCACAGGATAGTGGGGATGGAGGTCCACTTTTTTTTTTTTTAAACAGGACAGACTTTCTATAAAACATAGGCAGGGACAGATAGGCTTCCTTTTGTATTTCTTTGTGGGTGTGACTTTTCTAGAGTGTCAGTTTGATGTCGAAGTGGAGTTCCAAATTCAGAAACTCCATGCTTTCTAAACTTTTCTCCCATCTCTATATAGGAACTAAGATTTAACTACTTGAAGATATTGTCACTAGTACCAATCATTACCCACTAAAAATGTTCCTAAAGATCATGAAAGATTTCCTTATTTGCAAAATTAAGTAGCAATTCAATGAAACCTTCATACACCTGTTTTTATTTTTGCAGTGCTGGGGAAGTAAATCAGGAGCCTTGCACATGTAATGTAAGAGCAATCTGTCACTGCACTATATATAGAATTCTTAACTTCCCGACTGTAAGAAATTTCCTTTTGTTCTGTACTCACTTCTTTTCCGCAAATGGATGCCGGATGGCATTTTCTCTGACAGTCCACACTGACTGAAGCATCTTGATTGGAACTTGACATACTGTAACAAGTTGTTAGCTGGTTTCCATGCAGGCCATGCATTGTCTGTTACTTAGACACTAATTTTCTCATTGCCCTTTTCTGAAAAATCAATGAGCCACCATATATCTAAAATGCTTTCAAGGCCTCTATACAACTTCATTTTTCTCCACTAAAATGCTTGCTTCCCCATCTGTCCTATCGAATGTAACACATTTTTAAAAATCCAAACTTTGGCCTTATGTTTTCTTTTATCCAAATTTTACCCATAATTTCAGAAGTCCTAAATCTAATAGTTATCTCCAAGTTTTCTAAACTAAGAAAACCTGTTTCCTAAGTAGCTAGACTATAATTATTTTCCTGTGAGAAGTGTAGTTAACTATGGCGTCTTTCCAAATGGATCCCACTTGGAGAGTCCTGGTCTTTATTTTTACTGTAGAATTTAACATTTTGGTACAAATAGGCACAATAGGTATCTAATAAAGTCTTTCCATGTTACTACGTGGGCCAAGATATAGGAAAAATCTAAGCTAATTATTTTTGCGTGTTTGTGCCAGTTCTGGTACTCGGACTCTGAGCTTTTGCTCAAGGCTAGTGCTATACTACTTGAGCCACAACTCCACTTCTGGCTTTTTGGTGGTTGGTTGGAAGGACTTAAGTTTTAAAATCTGCTATTTCCAGCTGGGCACCAGTGGCTCACTCCTGTAATCCTACCTACTCAGGAGGCTGTGATCTTGAATCGCTGTTCAGTCAGCCTGGGCAGGAAAGTCACACACAAAAAAGCTGGAAGCAGAGCTGTAGCTCAGATGTTAAGAGCACTGACAGTGCCCAGGTCCTAAATTCAAGAAAAAAAAAAAATCTGCTATCTCTAGATTATCCTGACCACAGAATAATTTGGAGGTAACTTAAGTTATATGGTTTCTTGTCTAGTATATAATTTCTTTAAACTTATAGACCTTCCAATTATTAGTAATATACATGTGTATATAGGTGTGTAGGGACTTGGATGTTCATAGAAGCAAAGTGTTAAGACTGCCCTTAGGACCTACAACACAAAAACACATGCACAGTGTATCTTGAGTCTATCATAGTAATCAAACCATGTGTCCAGCAACAGGCCAGTTGTTTGCCTGTTCTTTCCTCAAATGTTCATGGCTTTTCTTTCTTGGTGGTACAACTGATTGAACTCAGGGCCTCACACTTGTTGGGCCACTTAGAGCTATGCCTCTAGCTCTTTTATTACCTTGGTAATTTTGAAGATAAGGTCTTACTTTTTCTCTGGCCTGACCTTGGCTTTAGCCTCCCTACTTTTGCTTCCCCATGTCACTGAAGATGACAGGCACTCTGCACTGCACCCAGCCATTGTACTTTGGAGGCTCTTTTTATCTTGGGATAGCCTTGGATTGAAACCCCTTTATCTATACTTCCCAAATCACTGGGCTTACAGGCTTAAGCTACGACTGGGTTCTAGCAGCAGCACTCTAAGAAGACTATATATTACTCTCATTTCTATCAGTTTCCTTGTCATGATTATAATGCTTTTCCCTGCTTCTATCTTTGGTAATTTGCATTTAAGATGTTCCTTGAAACAGAATTTTTGAACACAGCAATTATTTTCCAGCTGATTCAAACTCTCATTAAAAAAATAACTAGAATGTTGGCGGTAGTGGGCAGGTGAGTATGAGATTGAAATCCAGGAAGTGTCCCAGGCTGGGGAGTTAAAAGTTCACTGTTATGAATGGGAATTGAAGTGAATAAGACAAAAGGAACAAGATCTGAACACAATGCAGTTAAAAGGTCTTCCAGAAATGCAAAGAAGAAAGCGTCTCATGATTTTTACAGGAAAAGAAAAATCATTATAGATAACACTATAAAAGACATAAAAACAAGCAGATTATGAACATAATTTAAAGATAGAATTTATTCTCTGATGGTTTACTCATGCAAACTGCACAAAAAGAAAATAGTACAGTTTGTGTAACATTGCAAATATAAGGACTCAAAATGCTAGGTACAGAAGTAGTGTGACATCCTGGAAGTCAAATGGAATTTGTGTTTATACAACTAATAATGATTTTTATTTGTTGAGTACAGACAGATTTACAATGAAAGTTTTGCTAACCTTGGTAAGCTCATTAACCGTTTACATGACTTCTTACATCTATGTACTTTTATTTTACAGTTGCAAGAATTCTGTTAACAAAGAACTTGAATTTGCATAAATAATAAGATGAAAGAAAAATGCAATGAAGGATTTAGGAGAGTGAAAATTGAGGCTGAATTACAATAAAAAATAGCCTTCCTGAAGAATTTTGTATTCTTGTATTTTGTGCCTTTGAGATCAACTCCTTAGCATAACTATGGCAAAATCAGGATTAGAAATTGATTACTTTAAAGCTAGGAAATCAGTTACAAATAAAGTTAGAATTACCAACTAAATTTTTTTTCAACTCTAACAAGCCAAACAATAAAAAAATTTCTATTATCTTCATACTTAAAAATCCTGAAATGTCGTTTGTATAATTTGCATCTTTCCCAGTTTGGAACTTAGGCAGGTGGGATATTCTCTTGAATTACCAAGTATATTCCACACAGGCTTTTAAAATGTCAGTCTCATTAGGAGATGGCACTGAGACTTTAGCAAATAATGTGGTATGGATGCAGAACAAACTGCACAACTTATTATAAATGCATTACAGATATTTACATAATGGAATCCTGCTTGAATGCCAGAAGTTACTACTGGATAAGACTCAACTATTTTACAAAGGTTTCTTACGCACACTTACTACTGTTAAATTTTTGTGTTTAACAATTTAGTCCATTTAAAATATTGTACTGTATCTTGAACATAATTGCAGAATAAAAATAGATAATGGCACATTAGAAAACTCAGTATCCCACAGATGACTGGATAATGAGGAAAGTGTACCTACAATCATCTCATCAGAAACAAGCTACATCATGGAATGTTAGTTATCCAAGCCTGCACAGTAATGACATTTTAAACTGCAATCATATTGGCCAGCATCACACAGAAGGCATTGTTAAACATTCAAGCAAAGATTGCTGGCTTAAACTATTGAAAGACACACACGCACAAACACACACACTCTCTCACTCATTCATACTTCCACTTTATAATTACATTGTTCTAAAGATAAGATACTGATTTTTTTCCCCACAAGAAACATTATCAAAATCTGCTACTAAAAGATGACAGTGCTTTCACAAGAATCAGTACAAGTTAGCTCGCAAGTACAAGACAATGGGGGTAAACAGTCCGAAAATTTCTAAGTAGTAATTTTAGGCTTTTCTGGCAACCATACCATACTTGATTATGCACAAACTTCTCAGTTTGTAACCTGAAATCTGGAAAAACAAAATGAAACAACCAAAAAACCCCCACCAACCCCCTCAAAAAATAACAAGAGCTAATTTCAAAAATTACTAGATATCTGATAACCCTGTATCGTATATTACATAATTTCATATTTTCAGCCTCAAAACATAGGTTTAAAATACTGAGCTTAAGACTTAAAAAATAAAGTCATTTTTGAAATGTTGAAGATTCCACAATTTTTGTCTACTTAAAGTCTTTTAAAAAATGCAATATTATGAATGACTTTGATTAAAGAGTGTGCATAAAAGCACTTTTACTATGTTCTCATTCACTTAAAAAAAAGTGTTCTCTAATATTCTTCCTTTTGCAATAATGTGCAAAATAAAAGGCAAAATGATTAAAATCAAATTTCTATCTTTCTCTTGCCTAGTGCTTTACGACTTTGTTCACATTGCAAAGCCAATAGGGACAATGCAGAACTTTGGTATAAATGATAACAACACTACCATCACAGTTGAGGGTTAAGGGTGGGCAAAAGAAATGGAAGTGGGAAGAGAGATTCAGTAACACCCCCATTTATTAAAACCATCAAATTAAAGTGAAACAAACCACAATGAATTATGATGCAATTTACACATTGAGCACAGAAAAAATAATAAATCTAACATTATAAAAAAGAAAAGCAAAATCAGTCTTTTTTTCAGAGACTAAAAACTGCTGTTCAGTCTGATCATCTACTGTTGCTACACCAACTTTAGAGCCAAATTTAATTTCAAGTAAAAAAAAAAAATTTACAACCACAGATTTCGCATAAATGGAAACTGGTCTTTCCTTGATTTTTTTTCCTTGAAGTCACTAATGAATATCTGGAATTGTTGTACTGCAGATTTTTAATCAACTTCCCGAGGGCTGTGACTGGGAGGAAGGAGCCATGACGATCTGAGAAAGTGCAGGCTCTGTACTCTGGTCCGCCATCTGGGAGAGGACTGAAGTGGCCACAGCTTCTGCCTTTGAGGTTGAACTGACTCCATTGGATGTGCTGACAGAACTGTGCTGTATAGCTTCTGCATGTGGACTACTTGGTACTGAAAGGTCTTCTGAACTATCATCTTTATCAGCAGCTAAGTGGAAAAGAGAAAAACTATTCATTTTCATAAAGTAAAAAAAGTACCAATTAAGTCAATACACAGAGTAAAAAGTTAGAAGGTGTTACACAAAATTGCGTACCTGAGTAATTGAGTATAAGTCATGAAGCAGGCAATTGTATTTGAAATAGGTCAAACAAAGGAATAACCATGCATAGGGGAATATCTGGGTGCTCAGTACCTCCCAGAATAGAATTGAATAAATATTTGCTAAACAGTGTTAAAGAAAATGAGGAAGGAATATAGGAGATAGCTTCTTATGAATATAATCAAACATTTATTGAGCAACATATTAAACAAAACTACTCTGTTTTGCCTTCATGTTATTCTTATTAAACGTAAAAAAGAATTTATAACTACATGCAAAAACAAAATGGGTCTTATTTTCAAAGTATTCTGCATTTTCCAAAACTATTTATTCTGGCTGACTTTGTTTCCTGCAGCCATGGATGATTACAACACCTGATTCTAATAATGCATACACATGAGAATAAGCAATAGTTAAGAGTCTAAATGCCACCAGCTGCTAAAACTGCATGAATTAATAAGGATTCAAATAAAAAGCTACACAAAACTCTAGATATTGCAACTGTAAGGATATTTAGGAAAGGGCATTCTAAGTATTTATGAAAATAAATCTACAATATTCAGAACCGAATAACAAATTGCTGCCATTTTCCTTATTTTAGAAGACTATAACTCAGTAGTTTATTGGAAATTTGTTAATGTAACGCAAATATTCATAATATCCGTAAATCCTAGATACAGTGGACATTGACAAGAACATTGCCAATGATACTGCTCCTTCTAGGACTGTGTCCTTGTAATAGAAATCACTATTCTGACATTTCTTCAACCAGCCCCGTCTTTGTAGATTTAATATGATACATATCCAAATATATATGTAGTTTAGTTTTATTTCTGTGTGAATGTGTACATGCCACAATTAGCATCTCTTGCTTTTGCTTGTTTTTTGTGCTCCAAGCTGGAGTTCTACCACTTGAACCATATCTCTACTTTTGGCTTTTTGCTCATTAATTGGAGAAGAGTTTCAAGGCTTTTTCTTCCTGGGCTGGTCAGGAACCATAATCCTCATCTCAGCAGCTAGGATTTCAGGTGTGAGCCATCATTGTCCAGCTGCTTTACTTTTAAACATTATAAAAACATTACCATATCAAACATATTCTTTTGAGCCTGACTTTTTTTCACTTAACATTAATAATTTGTATTTATCCCAGCATTTAGAAGGCACAGGCAGGAGGAACACAAATTTGGGCCCAGCCCAGAGAGTTCAGGTCAGCTAAAGCTACACAGACTCCCCCATGTCCCACTGTCCCAATCATGGGGTTTGAACTCAGAGCCTGAGTGTTGTCTTTGAGTTTTTTGCTCAAGGCTAGCGCTCTACCACTTTGAGCTACAGCACCCTTTCTTTAATTTAAAAAAATTTTTAGTTTTATTTACTTTTTTTAGACTATATCTTAAAAAATTCAACAATAACAGACTTATGATATGTAATTATAGAAGCTAGAAGTGTAAGTTATCTAACAGGCAAAACTTAAGCTCAAATAGAATTCTCCATTTTGCGTGTTTTTCTGAAATACAAGTTGTTTTTATTGAATTCTGACCCATCTATGTACCTCTGCAAGCAGTTTTTAAAATATGTTAGTGTGATGAAATCTCGCCTCTTCTATAAAATGCTATAGAATATATTAGTGTGATGAAATCTCGCCTCTTCTATAATATGCTATAAATGAAGAACTGTTTCTCTGGATCAAACCAGATCCTGAGATAGGATTTTTTTAAATCATATCTTTAAATCATATCATATCCTTAAAGATTACACAAAACAGAAAAAATACAATTAAGCAATAATGAGTATTAACAAACACTTATAAACCAGTTATAGCCAATACAACAGTTACATGTTCAAAGACAAGTAAACAGGCAATGACAGTTCAGCTGAAGAGAAAACAAAGACAGTACTATTTGTTTATTACACTACTATTCTTCAATAGAACAACAAGCTGACCTTTTCTGAATGCTAAATCCTAGAGATACATCAGCTTTCACAAAGATGCCAGTTGGGATGCAGAGTATAAAGTATAAATATATTCTGGAGACAATAGCTCAAAATAAGTAGTAAATATAATGAAAAAATGCTATCTGCAGACTTTCATAATTAAGCAAATTTTTCTTTTTTTAAGGGAAAAAGTAATAATTTGTGGTAATATTAACAGGCACTGAGGTTCATTGAAAATAGATTGAACAGATTGTACAGGAGGACATGTCTACACTGTAATAAAAGAAGGAAAAGAGTTTGAGCTTGGTAGCTAGTTTTAGGACTGCCCAAAGCAGAACGGAGATGCTGTAGGATGGTGTCACATAATCAACTTTGAAAGGGTCTCTTTCTCCCTAAATCAGTAAAATCACAATAATCAATTACAGAAGCCCCAGTTAACTAAGCCAGTATAAGGAAGTCTCCTGTGTGTTAACCCATCAAAATAAATTTAAAATGACCCTAGGGAAAAAATGAAGATGTTTCAAATAAGTATGTGTATTCTTTTTCCTTTTAATTGGCTTTGAGTAAGAAGTATTGATACATATGAGTGAAGTCATGAAAGAGAGGCACCATCTCCTTAAGGTCTATGGACACAGACTTGTCTTGCTGTTGGCTCTGTCTTCACAGGGCAGGCATGAAACAAGGCAGAAAACACTTCCTTCAATGGTGAGTTTCAACTGCCTTGAGCTCAACTTAGTCTTATGCAAATGAAGCACATTTAAGCCATGTTTTGATTCTTCAGCAAAGGCCCAGAGTATAGAGATAATGAACTTTAAATAGTTATTTTATTAATAAAATATACTCACGGAAAATTAATTGCATTGATACCATTAACTTCTAGGCTGCTTTTTTGAAAGGGTGAGGTGAACAGTGGCAGTACAAACCATCGTGGTCACTTATGAATTATGTAATCATAATTTATTCATATAAATTACCTTTGTGATGTGACATATTTATATTTGCCTTGTTCTAGAAAGCGAGGGGAGAAAAATTACCAGTAGAATCAGAAGCACACGAAAGATGTCATAATACATTCAAAGAACCACTTTTAGCTTAAAATATATCTATTTAATCTAAAAGAAACCAGATGTATGACAAGTCAATCTCCTACCCATACTCACAGGTATTTCAAATAATGAAATCATTAGTAGTTAGGGACCATGAAGCTTTTTTTGCATTTATAATTATAGAGAGAATAATATAACTTTGATTATGTATGTTCAAATCTAGGGAATATAAACTCATGGCAGTAAGATCATTTCCTAATGAAAATTAAATACTAAAACTTTATTACTATTTTTATTCAGGTTTTATATTACTTAGTATTTGAGGTGACTGATAGTTGTTGTTTTCCCATTACTGAGTTGTTTCCTACTGTGTGGTATAGGACTTTCAGAATTGAAACTGGGCTGCATGGTGTTAAAACTAACGCCTTAGAGCTGTGACTTAGTACTATCATTTTTACCTGCAAGACTGTAATATTCTTTACTTTCTACTTAAGCTTAGTTTTCTTTCACACTTTTTTTTTTGTCAGTTGTGGGGCTTGAACTCTGAGCCTGGGCATTGTCCCTGAGTTCTTCAGCTCAAGGTGAGCGCTCTACCACTTGAACCACAGCACCACTTCTGCTTTTCTGGTGGTTAATTGGTGATAGAGTCTCACAAACTTTTCTGGCCCGTCTGGCTTTGAACCTCGATCCTCAGAGCTCAGCCTCCTGAGTAGCTATTATTATAGGCACGAGCCACCAGCACCCGGCTCTTTCACACGTTTTTAAGGCTTTAGTAGCAGCATATCTCACCAACAAGTGTTATATGCTAAAATATGATCAAGAATATGAAATCTGGTAATTTCTTGGAAATTTATTCACTTAACAGATTAGAAGTCAAATTTCAAACAGTATAAATTTATAAATTAAGATTACTTTAAGTTTCTAAAATTACTTTAAGTTTCAGTTATCTCATAAGAAGTGAAGAAAATTAATTTACTTCAGTTAATTCAGCTAAATGACTAGGTAGGAACATACTTAAATATATTTCCAAACAATAAAAACATCTTGCTGGGAACCTGTAACCCTATCTACTCAGGACACTGAGATCTGAGGATCGCGGTTTGAAGCCAGCCTAGGAAGGAATTGGAGCTGTGGCTCAAGTGGTAGAGTGAAAGCCTTGAGCAAGTAAGCTAAAGAACAGCCCCTAAGCCCCAAGTGCAAACCCCAGGACTGGCAAACAAAGAAATAAATAAAAATTATCCATTTCTGCTAAAAATGAATAATTAGCTTGCATTTACTGAATATGTACTGTCTGGATAACAGTTAAAACTATTGGGATTATCCAATAAATGGTCAAAGATTAAAAATAATATATTTCAAAAAAAAAGATATTTCAAATTAAAAGTAGCTTGAGATAAGAGTTTTCTTCCAGTTTATAGAAACATTCCTTTTATTTTTATTTATTTATTTATTTTTATTTTTTGCCAGTCATGGGGCCTGAGCTCTGGGCCTGGGTGCTGTCCCTCAGCTTTTCAGCTCAAGGCTAGCACTCTACCACTTGAGCCACAGCGCCACTTTTGGCTTTTTCTGCTTATGTGGTGCTGAGGAATCGAACCCAGGGCCTCATGCATGCAAGGCAAGCACTCTACCACTGAACCACCTTCCCAGCAAACATTCCTTTTAAACTATCAAAATTCAAGACAGTTTTCTTGTTGAAGGAAATTATTTATGCATAATACTAAACTCAGTTGCTTCTACAGGAAATTACATTGTTAAGTCAAATGGGAATCATAATAGCCTCATCCCTGCAGCAATCATTGTTAATGTAAATCCCAAACATATTTCTATATGGTTCCAATTTGCTCTACAATGTGTTTGTTCCCTTGTCCTGTCAAAAAGATGAGATATCAAATAACTAATATTTGTATACTCAAAACTGACAAAAATCAGTGCTTTAAATATATATGGCCACCGAGAGTTGCTAAATCTACTGAATCTTTTAAATTAAAAAATATTGCCCATTCTGATGAAACTGCTTACAATGACTACAAGATGGCAGCCATTAAGTGTTATCGTGAACACCTGAGGAACTGTTTGTATCCACTAGCAAATGTTTCTTTCTTTTGTATTACTGACACTAGCAAATTAAAACGAAGTGGATACATATGGTATAAACCATCTTCACATTTACAAATATCCTGAAATACCGCTAAATCATAAAAGCAAAAGCTGTGGGTTATATATTATGAATGTTGCCTAATGCATTCCTGTCATTTGTTACAGATTTGTATACAATGGACAAAATTGGCCATTTGTTCAGGAGTAACAGCTGGTTCCAACATTGTGCATCTTATCAAAAAAAGGAGGATATTACAGAAAGGAACACAAAAGGAAGACATTACAGAAAGGAAAAAGCACAATCAGTGAAATACTGAAACAAAAACTTCGTTTTTTGGTGAAAAACATTTGGGAAGAAATGTGTAAATAGATAATTTTTATGACTAAAAATTATGAGACAGTTCCACATAAAGTTTCATGACAATAAAAATACTATGTAATGCTGTATTAGCTGAGAGAGAGCAAAGGACACAATACTGCAAGTGGGTATTACATTTTTGGTAACTAAAGATAGCTAATTAAAAAGTAAACCTCACCATCACTGAATGAGGACTAAAAAGGAAGTAGTATTTTTCCTTGTCAATCTAGGATAGGTTTATTCATTGAGGATAAACAAAATATAATCAGTACTTCACAATGTATTTAAAATTCTTAGTAATCCTAGTGACTAGAAAAAAGAAAATTAAAAAAACCCTCTAGATTTTAAAAACTCTATTTCTATCCCATACTCAAAAACTTGAGATTCTGTAAAGTCTACCATACTCACTCCATTCTGTAACTGTGCAGCAATTCTGATATTTAATCTTAAATATTAGAACTGCAGTAGCCACTTTTTTTTTTTTTTTTTTAATGGTGCCTCTGCTCACTCTGGCAGTATTTCACTGATGTAGCCTAAGGCTGTAGGTAATGGAACATTACTCACTATGATAGCCAGATTTCTTCTGCATGGCGGTTACAGGGCAATCTTTATGAGCCAGAAGAAGCTGTTTCAGCTGTGCCACTTCATTTCTCAGCAGGGTGACTTCGCTCTGGAGAAGAAACAACTCATATACCTTACCAGCATTAGACTAAATGTATTCTTTTTACTGTTTAAAACAAGCCAAGGATTTAGACACAAAAATTGGACATCTTTCATAGAATATTTAATATCTAATCAGTATATATCAGTTTTTATAAGTTAGTATTTATACAAAAACTGCAATTTGGATAAAAATATTAAATAAGATAATGCTACAATGGGTAGCATGTTTCAAAGGTTTTACATTACCATTGCTTTGTTACTCCTTATATATTATAGGTTATCTGCTTAAGGTATTACTTTATTATTTTTTTGCCGTTCCTGGAGCTTGAACTCAGGGCCTGGGCACTGTCATTGAGCTTCTCTGTGCTCAAGGCTAGCGCTCTACCACTTGAGCCACAGCACCACTTCCAGCTTTTTCTGTTCATGTGGTACTGAGGATTAGAACCCAGGGCTTCATGCATGCTAGGCAAGCACTCTACTGCTAAGCCACTTTCCTAGCCCTTGTTAAGGTATTTCTTATCTTTACATGTTACATGCTCTTTTGATTAATGAAAAGCTGAAAAAGTCATCAGAGTCAAGATGAATTTTTACTGATTCCATCTACCTGAAAATTAAAACTTCAACCCAGGAATTCAATTTAGCAAGTTTCTAGTTTCCCAGAAGTAAGGGAATGCTCCACAAGGGAAAATTCAGTAACAAAGAATCAGGGACATCTAAAATTCATTGCAAGACATTGTGTTGTATACTGTACCAGAAGCAAAAGGCTTAACCATCTTTGATTTTGGCAATTTTATATACACTTGAACTTAAGTATAAATAAAAAGTCAAGACTAATTTCTTCTATTCTTTACAATGGAATGAATACTTGGACCTTTGTTTGGGATGCATTCATTTTTAAGTTCTATATAAAAGTTCCAAGCTGAGTCCAACTAATTTTAGTAGGTCACCTTCAAGTATTACAAACATATAAATCAGTAATAATTATCAATAAGCAAGAGTTAGGGGCTAGATATAAAGTGAATTTAGTAATCTGGTAACATTTAAAAATAATTTTTACTTACAAGATTTTCTACTCATTTGGACTTTTCTATTTACTTTAACTATTTAGATTTCACCAATGAACTTCAAACTAATCAGAATGTATGTAAACAACTATAGATAAAAGCTTAGGCATGCCACTTGCCATCAGATCTCAACTAGAAAGGTGAATGCAAAATAGTTAGGAGACTAGCCTCACTGGGTCTCCTTAAGTGACAGAAACATAAACATCAAAAGAATAAAAATCAAACAATCTCAAAGCTGATCAAATAATACAGTATTCTACTAAAGCACAGAAAAAACCCTGAATGTATAATAACTCCAAGCCCTAAAAATGGGTTAAATTTTATTTATTTAGAATATTGTAGTTAAGAATAGGTGAATAGTGATCAAAGCACAAAGGTAAAATAAGGGACTTTTGTTTTAAAAGACAAGCAATTATTTAGAAAACTAATTTCAATGTAATACTCCAACTACTGGTGTCAATACTGCTAATATACCTATTACTGACACAACTGATGAGAAACTATGTTAAAAATAATATGTTAAAAACAAATTACCAAGCTCCCCTACTTCCCACTTTATCAACCTGATTTTGACACAGATGTCTATGCTTCTCTCATTAACTGCTATAATATGAAATAGGGGTAGATACTTTTAGTTAAGAATGTGTACGTGGGCATATACACACATACTTACCACTAATATATTATATATATTATATATACACACACACACAATACTGGGGCTTGATATCAGGGTCTTGTAGCTGCTAAGCAGATGCTGTTTCACTTGAGCCACAGCTCCAGTTCATTTTGTTTTAGTTAAAAGTAGCATCCCCTATTTTTGCGTGTCATCTTGGAATATGAACCTATCTAAGCCTTTGTAGTTGAAATCACAGGTGTGGACTATCACACCCAGCTTTTTAGCTGAGCTAGGTTCTCAAAAACTTTTTGAGTAGAACTGTGATCCTTGTAAGTATCTAGACTATAGACATAAACCACTGCCCATTATCTTTAAAATTTTGGTAAATATGTTCATATTGTTTTCAATTCATTGATCTTTCAAATCACTAGTCCTTAGCCACACTAAAACATTAACAATGTGCCTCAAGAAGTGAGGCCTCCATTCTGTGTTACCCCAGACATATACATATTTAGGAAAAAGTTATTTGATTCAGTACATATCAATCTAGATTACAATTTTTGGTATACCAGTTTGCTCCATCTATTGGATTGAAAATTTCTTGAGGACACAGAGTATCATTCTCTAAGTATCCCTGGAGCACAGTACAAAGTCTAGGATAGGCGAAGTAGTTACATTTTAGTTAAAACAGTAATTCAATATTCAGGCAATGCAAACTACCAAAGAGGTGAAATAAAGTAGCATTAAGTGTTATTAGTCTGAAATTTTAATTTCATTATTTATACTACCCCTACCACCACTATGGTTATCTGTTAGTATTCTCAGTTATGAAAGGAAAATTGGCACAGACTTTGTAATCACCTAAGGTATAAAAATTTAAAAATGATAACTGTCTTCTCTCTTAAATGTGCTACACAAGCATTCATCACAAACCAAACTATGAAACAAAATGCAGTATGTGATAAACTTAACAAAAGTAATTATGAACTGATTGATAACAATATATGATTTAAGTATTCTATGAGGATTAAAAATAGAAGAAATATTGCTGGCCACGAATACCTGTAATCCAAGCACTTAGGAAGCCTGAAATAGCAGGATCATTGAGTCTGAAGCCAGCCTGGGCTACACAGCAAAACCCTGTCTCAAAATCACAAGCAAGCAAGCAAGCAAGCAAGCAAGCAAGCAAGCAAGCAAGCAAGCAAGCAAGCAGCCAAGCAACCAACTGTAATTAAAAAAACTTAACATTCCTATGCACTCAAATAAAAACAAATCCATTCAAATTCTTTAATACAGGTTTGAAATTGACGAATAGGACACCAATGTCTGTATCCCAAATTTACCAGGTGGCAATGTGGTTGTTGATCTAATTAAATTACCTGGTCCATTAACAACTAAACAAATGTGAAGATCTCATAATGGGTAATGAACACTAAGGACTGAAGAGATAGGCACTTTATTCTTACTGCAATATATATTTATGCACATAGAATTTTAACTGGAGTTATACTTGGAGTAATCAATGGGAAAAAAGAAGAAATTAAAGTAAAACCTATGTGTGCATATATAATTATGTATATATATATATATATATATATATACACTTACCATATACATATACACACATATGTTTATATAAATTTACATGTATTTCAAAGACACAGTAAGTAAATATGCTTTAACTTATATTTATACAAAATTCAAATAACCTATTTTTTTCCTGGCACCTTGTGCATGACAGAAAGGATAGAAAAAAACCATTAATTTCAAGGTATATGCATTACAAACTCAGTCCCATCTTTTATATCAATGTAATCTACACATTTTGAAATGCTAACAGATATTCCTCCCTACCCCCCACCCCATCATGGGGCTTGAACTCTGGGCTCTGGTGCTGTCCCTCAGCTCTTCAGCTCAAGGCTAGCACTCTACCATTTGAGCCACAGCACCCACTTCTGGCTTCTTCTGTTTATGTGGTGCTGAGGAATCGAACCCAGGGTCTCATGCATGGGAGACAAGCACTGTACCACTGAGCCACCTTCCCAGCCCTTAACAGATATTCTTAATGATGGTTCTGAGCTCAAAAGTGAATGAAAAGATGCAAATTAGATATACTTTGTAGTACAAACAATTGCGCCTTAATGATTGATTTTAAAAGTATTATCTCTAGATTAAAAGAAGAAAATGAGACATAGTTTCTGGCAAAGAACTGGGACTATAACACTACAATACAAACACAGTTGGAGTATAGGTGAGGCATGAGATGGGCCAAGCCTTGAAGGAAGAGAATTTAATAGAGCTTGAATGGGCTAACTGTAATGTCTAATTGTGGTAGTCAAGACCAGGTAAGTAGAGGTTGAAACAACATGATCATGCAAATAAACCTTATAACAGAATAGTCAGAAGAGGCTAAAATCAACTGATTTCTAAGTCATTTATTAAAAAACACTTTCAATAAATTCAAGAACTGTCTCATACACAATTTACAAAGAACATATTTTGTAAAATATAACTACATTAATACTTGGATAATGTGATTGCATAAGTCATGATTTTAATTATGAAATTTTCTATAAAGGTCAGAAGACAGGCAAAAGGAGACATTGCTATATAACAAATATTACATGAAGACCCATATATACAGATATTAAGTAAAAATAGAAAGGTTTTATTCTTTTTGCTTAAGCCAAAATAAAGCTGAGGGGATGTTAGCTATAAACAGATTTCATATTAACTGTAAAATAAATATTTATCCCTCTATCATTTACTCTGAATTTTTGTTTGGGTGCCCCAGTCCTGGGGCTTGAACTCAGGATCTGGCCACTGTCCCTGAGCTTCTTTTGCTCAAGATTAATAATACTCTACCACTTGAGCCACAGCACCACCTATGGCTTTTTCTGCTATGTGGTACTGAGGAATCAAACCCAGAGCTTCATTCATTCCCAGCCTATTCTGTGGATTATTGTAAAGTGCTTTAATTGACTCAGACTCCAAATCACTCCTAGTTGTACTATCTGCTACTTGTGACTTAGTACTTGCAGAATATGTTCTTTATCTTCTGGGTCATTCTGAAGATGAAATGGTGTAAGGGACTTGAAAGTATTTAAATATGCCATCCCTTCCCTCCCCCTCTCCTCCGGCATAATGAATTCAGTGTCTCATGCTTCTTATCCAGGCACTTTACTTGAGCATGCTCCAAAGTTTTTAAAGTAAAAGCCACAAGAATCTTTCCAAATTTTATTTAAGTTTTACTAATGTAGTAAATGGGGCAATGAGGTTGAATAATTATTATTTTCTTTAAACTAAAAAATCTACTTGGTGAGC